CGAAGGGGGTTGCCCCGTCCGGGCGCGGCGCCTGCAGCCGCGGGGCTCCTCCGTGGCGCGCGCCGGAGAGCCGAGCATCCCCGGGCTGGCACATTCTCTCCGGGCGGCGGCGCCCCACTTGGCCGCTGCCGAGCGCGCAGAGCCGGCGGAGGAGCGGGCGAGGAACATGGCGACAGGCGCCGGCGGGAAGCCCGGCTCTGCCCCGGCCGCCCTTCGGCCGGTGCTGTTGCTGCTGCTGCTGCTGCTGCTGCTGCTCGCGGGGCCCCTCCGGCCGGCCGCCCCCTCTCCTCGGCGGAGCCTGCGGTTGCAGGGCGCCCTGGTCCCGCGGCCCCAGGATCGGGGCTTCGCGCTGCTGCAGCCTCCGGATCCCCCCGGCCCCGGACAGCCCCCGCGGCGGAGAAGGAGCGCCTCGCCGCCCCCGCCGCCCCTGCCGCCGCCGCAGGAGGAGCCGGTGAAGGTGTACGGCCAGGTGAGCGGTCCCCGGACGGGCAGCTCTGCTCTGCCGCGGCGCGACCCTCTTTGCTGCTCCCCCCCCGCTCCCTCCCTCCCCGAGTTGGTGGCCTCCGTCAGTCCCGGCTTTTCCTCCCGGGTGCCAAGCGAAGAGGAGGGGGCTCCCCCCTTCCCCAGGAAACGTCCTTGGAAGAGCCCCTTTGCCGCCACTCGCAGACTCCCCCTCCCCACTGTGGTCTTTGCGCCCGCCGGGGTTCGGTTTCTCGGGGGGAAGGGGGGGAGAGAGAGCCGACGACGCTTGCGGGAAGGCGAACCACGATTCAGGGGTCCCTCTTCCCCCTCCCCTTGGTTGGTGCTTTAATTGAGGAGGGGGGCTTGGTTTGTCCTGCAGCCGCCGAGAAACGAGCTACCGGTACCTGCCTAGCAATGAAGCCGGCTACTTTATCTTTTGGGGGAGGGGATGTCAATCAGGGCTAAGTGCCTCGGGCTCCCTTGCAATGGGAGGGTAGCAAATTAGAATTAGGTGGCAGGGATGGGGGAGCAGGGTGCGAATCTTCCCGCAGGCAGATATTTAAAGGTTAACATCCTTGGTCGAGGGTGCGGTGCAAAAGGAGCCTCGCCGAGGTTGTTTAAGGCAGGGGTCCAGAGAGACCACCATGGACCAAGTTGAATGTTTGTTATCTTGCTTGCAGCCCTCTCACCAAGGGCTGGGATAGCCTGGGATGCTGGGTTTCTCAGGGGAAGGTGGTCTGAAAAAAAAAAATCACGCACATCAAGCCTGCTTTGCAGTTGGACTTCACGGTCTGTTGCAAGAAGAACTGGAAATCCCAGTTTTTATGGGACTCATTTGCCAGCTGTTTGCAAACAATTCCTATCAGGACTGTCATTTTCTTGTTGTAACCTGCAGCTGTCCAGGTTTGAGTCCCAAAGGTGCTTTTTCCGAAGGGCAACTGGACTTTCTTGGTTTTTGCTTTGAAAAGGTTTGGTTCTCATCCAAGAAGCTCCTTCGGTTCTGATATTCCCCACCAGACAGCTAGAACTGAAGAAGCTTCTTGGATTAGAAGCGAAACGTTTTCAAGGGAAAAAACAAACAAAACAAAGCCCTCTTGGTTTTGGAAAGCCACCCCTGATCTGGATGACCTAAAATCTCCATAGGCACAGAGGGTGCTGGTGTTTCCATCAACCATGGCAAACAATATGGGGAGCTGGGTTGCCACTGAACTTCAACGCTGATGTAGCTTTTGGATCTTCCTCATCTAGGAAGGATGAAATACACAATTGTCATCCGGTGTGCGTAGCTGGAATTCCTTGTGCAAGAACTGTAGGGGTGTCCTCTCAGAACTTCTCCATCTCCTTCCTAGACAAGCTCGTTTGCCTTTTTTGTGATGTCAACCTACGACTCAGTGTTTCTCAACCTTGACAACTTTAAGGCATGTGGACTTCAACTCCCAGAATTCCACAGCCAGCAATGCTGGCTGTGGAATTCTGGGAGTTGAAGTTCACATGCCTTAAAGTTGTCAAGGTTGAGAAACACTTTTCTACGTTGTCTCTGTTGATCCCATGAGACACCTCAAGTTCCAACCTTCTCCTCTTTCTCCATGACATAATAGCTGATGTGAGATTAAAGGGGAACTGTCTTTAAATTTAAGGAAGGCCTCTGAAAGAATAAGAAGTTGTGAGGAACCGCAGTTCCCTGCTGAAATGAAAGAGTTACTCGCATTTCTAATTGGCAGCCGGAACTATTGTCAGAAATGGCAACCACTATTTTTAGGAAAGATGGAAGAGAGTGTGAAGCGCACAATAGACCTTCTGTTTGCTTAAAGGTGCTCATGAGGTTCCTGCGAGGTAATCCAGATTAAGACCCAGATTAAGACGATTTCTATCCCCTGGGCCTAACCCCAGTCAATAAACATTGCCTTCTTTTTTAACCACAAGCCATAAATCTTGTCAGTTCAACAATGGTTTATTATTTTGGCATCATGTTTGTAGGCTAACGAAGGGAGCAAAACTGACCAAGAAGACACCAGGTTAAGAAATCAGGTCTTCAGAATGCCCAAATATTCATTAGCCGGAAAGGCTGATGATTTAAGAGTAAAATCAAGTCTTCCTGGCTGTCTAAACCCCATTAAACCAACCCAAAACTTCTGGATCCCAGAATTTTACTGGCTGGGCACTGGCTTTCCATGGCTGAATTTCTCTCCCCCCCCAATTCCTTTGTTCTTTCTGTTTCCCCCCCTCCCCTAAGGACCCCAAAGCTGTGTGAAAATCTGGATTATTCGGTGCTTCCCTCTGCATCCTTTTGGTGTGTTTTTTCAAATGCTTGAGACTTCTGCATCCCAGAATAAAGTCTGAGCCATCCTGTCGTATAGCAAAATGAGGTCTAAGAAACCCACTTCAGAACTAGACAACTTTTACCAGGCCAAGATAATGCATAAATGTGACGGGGGGGGGGCAAGAACAGGCCTTTGACCTGATAGAAAGACTTTCCCCCACTTTATGATGGGACAGTGCCTAGGAAGGAAAAATGAGATTTTTTTTCAAAGAGAATAGACCTCTTTATGTACAAGTAGTCCCCGGCTTACGACCACAATGGAGCCCCAACTTTCTCTTGCTAAGCGACACAGCTGTTAAGTGAGTTTTGCCACATTTTACGACCTTTCTTGCCACAGTCGTTAAGGGAATCACTGCATTTGTTAAGCTAGCAGTGTGGTTGTTAAGCGAATATGGCCTCCCCCCTTGACTTTGCTTGTCAGAAGGTCGCAAAAGGGGATCACCTGACCCCGGGGCATTGCGACCGTCATAAATGTGAGTCAGTTGCCAAGCGTCTGAATTTGGATCACGTGACCCTGGGGAGGCTGCAATGGTTGTAGGTGTGAAAAATAGCCCAAAATCACTTTTTTCAGTGCTGTTGTAACTTTGAACAGTCACTAAATGAATGCTTGTAAGCCGAGGACTACCTCTATGCCCATCCTAACTTTGTCTGTTTCATGGTCATCATTCCGATTTCAGAGCATTAAGAAATGCCCCCCCCCAAAGGCCTCTCTAATCTAGCATTTTGTTGGCCCCCATAGCAGCCAACTGGATGCCTTTGAAACTCAGCCAGAAACCAATGTCAACATGTTGATGTCCCGTGACGGTAGTACATACTAGAGGTAATATCAATCTTCACATCAGTACATGCACTTTTAATTTTAATAACGTCTGTGCTGGCTAGAAATTATAATTCAATGTCTCAGGTTGGATCAAGTTGACCTTGGTCAACACAGTTTCAGCCTGTTCAGTTCTTTCTGTTAGGGTGTCTCTGTTTTCATCATTCCAAGAGGACAATAAATAATAAGATATGGGCCACCAGAGATGGCTGGATAACATTGTTAGGCAAGTGAGTGACTTGTTTTTTTTGCTCAGCTGCCTGTTCAAAATGAGACTGGTTCGCCTCTTTTCAATCAGCAAAATTACACAATTTATCTCTGCCATTTCTGTGTTTTTCAGGCAGAAAACTTTCCACAGCCAAGTTGTTCCTTGTTATCAATCGTGGGCTTGAATTTTATTTTTTTTTAAAAAAACCTCAAAACCAAAGGTGTCCTTTGTAAGAAGAAAACAAATCTGAAATTCCCATTTGCAGTTTCATTATAATGCTCGGTCTTGTTATTCAAAACCTTCCAGCGGTAACTCTGTGTCAACAGCCTGTGTTGATAGCAGCTGTCTGCATGTTCAGGTGTTTGCTCCTTTGTCCTTTGAAAAGGGAGAATTTTGCAAATTGAGGACAAGTGATTTTTCTGAAACCCACGTTGGTCATTAGAAAAGAATTCATAGCTAATTGCTTACTTCTCCGTCATTGCAAGGTCCCTATGACCTTTCAGATACTATAAAAAACAATGCACGGGATTCTTAGCAAACTCATGGGTCCTGGAGCTGTCAATATGCACTCTTTTTATTCAGGTGCATTTCTCTCCTAGGAATGTGTCCTTCATAGGAAATATAATAGTTTCAGAACTTCCCTTAATAGACCCTTGACTTTCCTTGTCCAGTAAAGCATGTTTTCTATCAGAAGAGAATATTTGTAGCTATGGATCGAACTGAGGGATCCTTGGTGCTCCCCAAGCTTGGTGCTTTTCTTGCAGTTGAATATAATAATAATAATAATAATAATAATAATAATAATAATAATAATAATAATAATAATAATAATAATAATAATAATAATAAAGTTGGAAGGGACCTTGGAGGTCATCTAGTCCAACCCCTTTCTCAGGCAAGAAACCCTATACCATTTCAGACAAATGGTTGTCCAGTCTCTTCTTTAAAACTTCCAGTGTTGGAGCATTCACAGCTTCTCTAGAGGCAGGTTGTTGCACTGGTTAATTGTTCTCACTGTCAGGAAGTTTCTCTTTAGTTCCAGGTTGCTTCTCTCCTTGGTTAGTTTCCATCCGCTGCTTCTTGTCCTGCCTTCAGGTGCTATGGAGAATAGCTTGACTCCTTCTAATATCTAATGAATATTGTCCAAGCTCCTTAAGAAATCTCTTCAGCGGAGACTTCCTGTTTGGGTTGCAGTGGGTGCAGGCACATGAAGAGGCTCTCTCTCTTCGTTAGCTGAGGAATATGTACAAGAAATGGGCAAAAAGTGTCAAGCATATTGTGAGGCATGAAAAAAAAAGAAAGAGCTACGGCTTTGCTTTGTACCACTGTCTTGATTTTATGGGGGCTAGCACTGATAATGGTACCTAGCTAGGTAATGAAAGGTCTTCAAGAAAACAACCAAGCTTGGAGAGCATGAGAACCCCACATATTTTGTATATTGCCATTGGATTCCTTGCCTGATGCAGACATGTTTTGAGTTGTGTTCTAAAGGCCAACATCAAATCCAATAGGCTGGGGATGTTGAGATAGTGACTCAACACTTCTCAAGGACATCTGGTTGAACAGCAACAGAGGGTTCATTGTTGACCTGTGCAATAGTTGGCCAAAGAGATAGTAGAGACTAATGCCTGTTGGGTTTGGTGAAGCTGCATGGCAGGTGGC